TACAATTAAATAAAATTGGATACACGGCTTTTTCCCCCGGAAAGCGACACGTGTCGGTTTGTGTCAAAAATGTCGACTGGATTTTCTAAAAGGAGAGCAGCCATTAAAAAACAGAGCGCACCGCAACGGACTGGCAAGCAATTGGAATCGCCTGGTGCGGGTGACAATTAATCCGGGCGTCGCCGCGTGTGTGTGTGTGTTCTCATATTATTTTATTTTAATTTACGAATCTCTCAGGCTAGATTTACATAAAATATGATTAATCGGTATAACGCTTGCGCATATAATACATCTGTAATGCCGAGAAAAATATATTGCACGTATTTTTTTTTTTCTACATCTTCAACATCTTTACATATACAAAGTGCGCGAGCGCTGCTGCTCGGTGCCGCTCGCAAGGAGGTGTGTCGGGGGAAACGCGCGCGGGGGTCGCGGCCAGAGATCCTCGCCTTCGCACGCCTCGCAAATAGTGATTTATCGAAATAGCCGGAACGAGTCCGGCCTAATCCATCACCGCGGCTTTTCTCTCCCCCGTGGAGAAAAATCTTCAACACGGGTCACTTCTACCGGCCATCCCGTTGTTCGCGACACGTGTCGGCACTTCCGACACTCTTCCGCGATAAATGCACGAGAGACACACATAAAAAAATTGCCCGTAGTCCGGGCTCGGGTGACAAATAGTACGTGAATTGCGGGCGAAAATTGGCCCGGGGAATAAAGGAGAAAGACAGAGGGAGAGAGAGAGAGGGGGGAAAAAAAAGAGTACAAGCGGGGAGAGGCTTGATAGAAACGTACCGCGAGGGGTCGCGTGTTGAAACCAAACCCGCGGTACGAGACGGAACATCCGGTTAGAAACACTTTGTTTCATTGTTTGCGCTGAACCAAAACGAGTGACAAGCCTCAGAAGGATGTGTGGTAAAATCAATCATGTTTCTCGCTGGCGGCAATCAATTTACAAAATGGTTGTCCGTCTGGACTGTTGAACTTTGGAAAGAAATTATCGCAAAAAAATTACCGCCCGTTCCCAAACGAAGTATACGCTCGTAGTGTCTCGCGAGCACAAATAAAACGGCAGGCCACTTTATTACGTAACGGCCACGGCAACAATTTTGATTTGAGAAAACACTTTGCTGCGTACATTGAGTGGAAAGTATAACATCTATAACGTATATGCGCGTACAGCAGGCGGATCTCGCTTGTACTATTTTTTTTTCTTCAATCCCCAAGTTCGCGCGAGAGAAGAGGCTCGTGTGTCCCGCGTTCGATTGCTCGCGGAGCGAACGGCGAACAAATTTTACACGGACGCATTAACGGCGGGGTGTCGTTACAGGTGGCGATAGGGGTGGCCCTGCGAATGGTAGGAAGTGATTTATAAAAGTACACCGAATTTCGATCGTTGCGCGTGTGCCAAAACTCTCGTTTCAGCGGCCGCCGCGTCTGTTTTCCGGCCGGCTCTACCTTTCGTTTCGCTCTCTATCTTTTTTTTCGCTCGCAATTCCATCTCGCAATTCATGGTCTCCAAAATTGGTGTCTGCGTGTCGTCGTCGAGAGAAATTATTATCTCGACGCACTCGTACACGGCGGGAGACAGAGAAGGGGAGACAGAGACAGACATTAGTGCGAGAGGGCTTTCTATTTTGAGATCATGCGGTGTAGCGTGATTGGACGGAAGATGGAAAATATCTGGTCGAAATGATTAACGTCGAATACGTTGACATTGAAAAATCATGCGAACGATACGCGCGAAGTTAGAATGTACACTTGCAACAGAATACACACGATACATTGTATTCTCGCATATGCATATACGGGAATATCTCAGCAAAGACAATTCAGTAGACGAAAGCTAGTACAGATTAACCGACTCTGTTGCCGAGCTGTTGCATTTTGTTTTACAAACAAATTTCGCGTTTGTCTTTAAATAAGTTCAAAAACCTCGATAACAAAAAGTCCAGACTCATTCGAAGCGATCATTTGAAAAAAAAGGAAGACAAACCACTCGTACAACAGAAAATATACTGTAACTCGTGAGCAATTTCGAGTAAGACGAAATTATTCACATACTATTTGACTGAATTGACCTTAGAAATTGTTAAGAGTAAATTTTTAAAAAATTTAGATCATGTCATCAGCTTAGATGAATTGTAATTTTTACTAATCGAACACAATCGAAAATTTGTTACATGTGTCGATATGAGAATTGAATTGCCTTAAAGAAAATTGTAGATATCCTTATATGTATATCAGTTACTCTCGCGATGTTATTTAAATTGGCAAGTTTTTTAGAGAACGTTTATATCCCTAATATACACTGGAATAGAAATAATACGATAATAGAGAAATAAACAATAGAATACTACGCTTTGCAATAATTATTAACATATTTTCCAGAGCGACGGATAATCTTACATCCAATCTCGATGCATCGCTTTTGTCATGAATTTTTACAAAATTGCGTGAAAAAATAATATATTAATTTCTCCATCTACGTTGAAGTAAACTCTTGTTCTATGCAAAGTAGAATCTTTGCTCATGATACAACTAAAAAGTTCTTTGTGTAGATGAAATAAACATACCTAGCACAAAACATGTGACTACGTAAAAATTACCGACAGGCTAACAGAGAAAAGAGAAGAACTCAATACACACAATTATAAATATTCATCGTCAAACTGCGAGATTGCAATACACGGTTTCGCCGAGTTCAACGATTATACAGATGCTGTAAATGTATTACGAAAATATATCAAGTCATGAAGTCTTGGTAAACGATATCAATCTGATGACCCGTACACGTCGTCGTACAAGAGAAAAATAATGTCACGCGCCAACGACGGGCTCGTTACTCCGTTATCGTAACGTTGAACCATCACACATTTAAAGCGCGTGCTTTTTAACACGTAATCCGATAAGTAATCCGATTACTCGTAAAACAAAGTACATGGTTAAATCGGGATGGGGAGGGGAAGATTAAACGGAGCTAGTTTTTGGTAAGGGCTTCAGTTTGGAATTCAGCTCGCGCTGCTGCTCGTGGAACTCCTGAAAGCAGGGCACGATGCACAAATTGATCTGGCATTCGGGACAATGATACTTGGTCTTCCTACGGAGTATCCTGCCGTGGGCGTCTATCGTGTTCCAGCAGTGATTGCAGCCCAAGGCAGGACCTTGGCGCAACAGCGGACAGTGACCTAATCGCTGATCGCCCGTGCCCTCGCGCGGTTCTCTGCTACTGCTCGTCTATGTAAGCAGATATATTACATTTATTTAGTCCCGTTAATAAGGCCCGTTGCGAGTTTAAAGTAATAAATTGTCTAAATAAAAAGAAATTAAATCAATCAATCTATCTAATCACAATCTGTTAATACTGAACAAGAGTTCAGTTCTTCGGGCTTTAACGACGTGATATTTTGACACAATGTGCAAATTAACATTCAAATCGCGAGGTGTCTTCAGTCTTCATATCCAATTCTCATGCTACAAGTTTAATCCATTAAAAAGATCGATCGTTCATTTAGACACTAATCGTCTAGCGGTCTCAGTAGTTTCTTCATTCGCTTGTTACCGATGCGCACGAGTGCGCGTCCGATATTTACCTGCGGCGACGAGGAAGCTCGCCGTAACTCCGTCGTCTTCACCCTCAGTCCGCCGGAAGTGCCGCCGCTGGTCCCCAGCTCGGAGGTGGTAGCCGGCGCAGCCGGAGTCGCGGTCTCCTCGCATCCCTCTTCCTCGGTCTTAAGGACGGGCGCCGGCTCGATCACTATCGAAGGACTCGTGGTCCTGCCGGGCAGCTCCGGATGCGAGTGCTGCCGGTGTATCCAGTACGTCCCGGACGTACTCGGTTGCTGGCTGGAGAGCAGCGGATGCGAGTGCTGCTTCGTCAGGTAGGACGGCTGGGGCACCGTCAGCAAGTTGGGTGACGTCGTCACCGTCAGCAGATTCGGCTGGCTGACCAGCATGGTGTGCGGCGGTGGCGATATACGGGACTCCTCGAAGCTCCTCGACGTTTGGGGAAGATTCAACGTCGGCGTGGAGAGGTGAACGGAGGTCGAGACAATGTGCGGCGAGAAGCTGCTCGTTTCGCTGTCCGGCGACAGGTGACTCGGCTCCTTCTTCACTCGCGGCTGTCTGATCAGCAGCCGAGTCCTTTTCGTTACTTGCGTCTGCTTGCAATGAAGAACTATAATAATAAATAAATGAACTTTAGCCGTGGCGAAGAGAATCGATGCATTATCGACGCTTGCGCTTAGACGCAGTGAATATAAAGCGATGATCTATTCTAGAGGTGTCGAAGATGAATCAATACCATACGCGTTACCTTATTCGAATACATCAGTTGTATATAGACAAGATCTTCGCAGAGAACTGCTGCATTAATTAATCGCAACGATAATTTTAACATCGGTCGTTCGCTCGGACGATTAATAGAGAGAGAAAAAAAAAGATTGTAAAATATCGACGAAAAGTAAGGAGAACTCCCATTCTGTTGCAAATTGTTAGAATAATTTTTATTCCTTCTGAATTATTTTTCAATCGTTTATATAAGGGGTATAAATGCTTCTTAACAGTGCAATTAACAGCTAATTTTTATTATATATTAAGAACTAATTTCTATTTAAGTCAAATCACTCAAATGTATATTTTTCGATCTTTGCGCAAAGCAGCTTTTGCCTTCGTCCCGCAATTACCGAAAGTTTGCCGTTTACAGAAACAAATGAAGGACAAGTGGTACAATCTCAAAATATCTTTCGAGTTAATACAAGTTAAGCGTTCGCATTCTTTTGTGCTCAATACATGCATTACTTTACTATTCCAATCAGTTGTTAAATATATATACGACATACGTAACAAATGGTACAACAAATAAAAAAGGGGTTGTCCCTGCAAGCTAAATTAGGAACATTAATCTGCATAAAGTTCGTACGTATATGTGTCCTACATTTATTTTACAATTAATATTAAAAAACCAGATTTGCTTTTGTATCAAGTATCTATCATATTTTACACACTGTGGGGGGGCCAAGAACTAGACTAATCGTTATCACGATTAAACATAACAGGGAAAACATGACAGAGTCATAGAGAAGTAATGTACATATATTCATTCATTCCTTATATACGAGTGCGCTTTTTCTAAGACTGACCATATCTCACATAAAATTTACACTTTGCCTCAAATGACAGAACTATTTTCACAAAGTTTGATTTCATTTGGGATATTTAATACATCGAGTATATAATTGCATTTGTTGGTATCATTTATTCAAGTTACGTTTCCGTCAACGTAATGTTTTCCCTTTAATTAACAGAAGGAGATAAGCAAATGTAAATACCTTGGAAAAAGTACTAATGTATTAAAATAAAAAAAAAATACTCTAGTATAACGTAACAAAATATATCTCAAGTACTTGCATACAACATAAAAGGCACAAAAATTAAACAGACTTCCAGGTATAGAAGAAAACATTGGTTTCTCACATATTTATCAACATAGTAACAATTAATATATATATTATATATAATTGTAATACATGTATTGATAAATTATCTCCGTGTATCGTAATCTCGTACGACGGTCTTTTTTTTTTCTTCAATAAACTGTATCGTTACTCACGTGCAAATACAGGTAACGCGATTTTTAATCGTATGCTTCGTAATATATTATTTACAAATATTATACGACAGACTACGACGACTAGTCAATAATTAACGACAGTCCTTGTTATTTACGACGTTGAATATTTTAGATAATATACAAGGATTAGCAGTAATAACACAAGCTTCACCTATGATAAGATAACGGCACCGAATGGCAAAAGTTGTGTCGCTGAATAGTCAAGTTGTCATTTGTGACTACACTAATACAATGTATTAAAAAAATAAAAATAAAGATTTGTCGTCAAATTTTTTTATTCGAGAGAATCAAAGAAGCAAAAGGTTATTACAAAATCTTTGGTAACAATTAACACGAAGAGAACTTTACATGGGGAGATAAAGTTTTTGAAAAGCAGAAGAAAGCTTAATTGATAAACGTTGTCCTAGCGACAATACAGCAATATCGAAATTAATTAATAAAGTAATTTAAATTGCGAACAAAGTGATAATCGACAAAAATTAGTTACGGGATAACAAAAGTAAAACTGTTAAAAATAGCCAACATCAAAAATAATCCAAGCTCTACTATTAATTATTGACTGACTCTCGCACTCATAATCGGTGCAATGACAAATGGTTTTATTATTACCAATACTGTAACGTTCTAATTATCGAAGCAATGAAATTGCACCGTTTCTAGACGATACTGAAATCTTCACTCTAATTATAACTCGCAATGTCTGATGATACATAACAAAATGCTAAAAACTACAGATAATAATCTGCTATAAATATCAGAAGTTGTTGACACGACATGTCGTCGCTACAAATCTGCTCGTTTATCACATTATAGACATTCAGCTCGGATTATAAATCGCGTATCGATAGAGAGAAAGAAGATACGAGAATAAAAAGATACACATTACAAAATTCAGTTCAAATAACTTAATATCAAAACAGTAGCTGTGCTCCGTTATTCACTGGCAGTACTGATAGCGTGGCATTATTATAAGTATTTCAATTTCACAAACATACTGTAATATATATAATAGAAAACAGAAGGTGTGTCATTTAATCTCTAATATTTATTGATCCAAATTGAAATAATGTAGAATAAATATTAGAGTAAAAAATATACAAAATATATATCGGAAAGAAACTGCTATCTGCTTTATTAACAATATTGCACGCGTTAACGAAGAGTCAAATATGTTCTTTTATTTCATATTGCACATTAGTGTCTGCATCAATCAAAGTTATTTTCTCTCTTTTATATATTATTTCTTGTTGATCACAACCTAAATGTCTTTTAATCAATTGAAAAATATTAAGTAATGTAAATAAAAAAAGTTACATGTAAGTTAAAATGTAAGAACAACGAAATATTTTGAGTAATGAAGGATATTTAAAATATGTTAAAATATTATAAAATTAAGGATATTTAAAATATGTTAAAATATTATTAAAAAAACCATACTATCCGCCATGTTACTTTGCCATTTAATGCTGCAATTGCTGCTCTTTCCAACTGTAGCATTCAGAGCAAGAAAAGACAATAACATTTATGACAAAATTATGATGTCATTACTTTCTCACAGTGCTATCACAGTATATTGTGACAAATGTTGAAACGATTTTTCATAGCATTATCAGTGCTGGCAGTGAATTTCGGAATGTAGTTAATATCGATGTATAGGATAAATCAAAGATAAATCAAAGTCACAAACAATTTTCTCTGTTACAGACGATCTAAATTTTTGTCAGTCAAATGACACATTAAAGAATATTGAAAAGTCATGTTACTTTGCCATTTAATTGTTGTATCATTAAAAAAGAATTTTAATCCAATTTTCTTTCACGTTTGATAACGATATACAAAATTAAAAATCTAAAAGCTCATATTTTTAAGCTTAACATTATAAATAATTAATATTGAGTCTTTTCTTCGCCAGCGATTAATGAAAATAAAACGTAATGGGCAAAATTATTCGACGTATCTGGCAATACTTTATTAAAGGAATTACATAACGTTTCGATCGAGAATTCCGGTCCTTTTCAAGTAAAAAGCGTCTTGATTACATTCCAAAGCCAGACTAGTACCTGACTAGTCGGAATCTGAAGACTACGAAATTATCGTGCGTCAAAAAACAGAGTTACAGAATATAAACGTGAAAAAGGTACAAAAACTTACATGTTTGTTAAGAAGCATAAGGAGAAATGAACATTCCATTTTTCGAGTAACATTGATCGCACTGTGATACAAAAGTCTAGTTACAATCCATAACAAAATTTTCGTAGAAAATAATTCGTAAGTCTTTGAAATCGTCTGTAGCTAAAGAAAAATGTATACTTTTGATAGATCCTATACAATACAAATTGCACTTGAACCTCTAAATATGAAAAAAGAATGTAAATATAAAAAAATCTGCGTATAGTCAGACGGAAAGATTGAAACGTGTGACGTTTTTCCATGTCTCGTTACTGACGCTTCGTTACTGACACAGGTAGTCGCGGTAGGTTGAGTTGTACACGAGATAGTGGAAAGGAAGAGGCGACAGGGAAGAATACTTCTCAAGCTCGTCTATACAAGCGACTTTCCGGGTAGGATACAGTTCACATGGCGTTGTAATTAACGCCGTGCAGATTGATCGGCATCGTGGAGCTCGGTAGCGTATAGTCCGTATGCCTGTCAATGTAACCACTCAGCATCGTGTGGGGACTGTGGCTGGTCAGCATGGTGTGCGTGCTATGTGTGTTGTGTGTGCTGTGCGGAGTCGTGGGCGGGCCCATAGGCGTCGGGCTCTGCGAGTTCATGGGCTGCGTCGAGGGTGCCGGTGGCGGTGAGGTATTGACCTCCTGCTTAACGCGGGACTTGAGGCTGGGCCGATTGTTCGGGTAGCCGCGCTTCTTGTACTCGAGCCAGAGCGTTCGGTTGTTGACGCCGAACATCCTGGCCGCCTTGCAAAACCCTATACCACCATAGCGCACGGCGTCGAGCGCGCGTATAAAGTTCTCGTCTGCCTGCGGATTAGTCGAGCGCTTCCTCTTAATCGCAGTCTGCGGGCTGGCGCAGGGGCTCTGGCAGTTGCTGGGGCACTGCGTCGATGGCGAGGGGCCACCCGACGACGCGTGCTGCAACGTCCCGTGGGAGGAGTTCGGATAGTTCGTCAGGGCGCAACTGGAACCAGTCGTGCTGGTACCAGAGTACTGATCGTTGATGGTCGAGGATGCTGTTATTTCGGGCGTCGTAAACGCCGACGACGCTTGGATCGACAGATTCGTTTGACACGAGGACAGAGCGAAACGTGTCGGATGATATGTGTGCTCCATAATAGTCCATTGTAATCCTGTAGAACAGACCGATTGATCTTTGGTCAGAGCACAGGAATTATTAACCCGCTTTACGTTTACAGGTAAATAATTAAGTCAGAGTATATATGATTGTAACAATGTGAAATATGACAAAATTAACGTTAGGCAACGAAATAACTTTGACTCCAATTTATATTTAGGTCTGTCTTGACGCAAAGGAAATCTCGAGAACCGTCCGACTCGCCGATACGGCAATTGGTGTGTTCCCACACAAAATTTTATTTCACCTGTGTATCACGTTGAAAACTTCCAATTTAAAAGACGTAACCTTCACACAATTATATTGCGCTATTAATAACGTAACTTGAACTATGAGTAATAACGAATAATGTTATATATCGGCATATCTGTTCATATAAAACAAGGCAATACATAAATTATGATCTAATCAAAAGAAAGTAATTTATTCTATGATATGTAGAAAAAAAAACGATACTAAGCTAGGTAAGCGAAAGATGATAGATATTAAAAATAAAATCTTGTGAAGAGACGAGATATATATGAGCGTATTAAGTATGGAGTTGCGGCATGGCACAGATACATTTTTAAGCACATCATTGTTTATACTGAAATACTGAAATACGTGTACGGCATTCGTTACACTTACAGGGCAGAGTAAGGCACACATACATAACTCCGTTAATGTCAAAGGCCCGATATACTGTCCCTCCGGTAATATAACATACTGTGTGCTATGTATCTGTGTACCATGGTGATTTTTCTTTCATGAAATGAGAAACAATCTTTTTCTTTGCACATTCGCAATTATAGTAAATTTCAATTCCTGAAATTTCGCTCTATTTTCATGTCAAACGTCTGTTGATTCTCCTTGTGCAATACATTTAAACGCATCTGTGCCAGCATATAATGTGTGTAACTTTCGCGTTTATCGACATGCAGTTCAAATACCCACCACAGTCAGTATGCATAATTCAAATAACGATTATCGGAGAGATTTGCTTAAAGGGGAGGTGTCATGCAATCTGCCAAAGTTGCCTGAGAGCATTCTGCATGGATTTACAATGTACAGTCTACTTGGAGAGAAATTATATCATTAAGTCTATAGCTAGTCATTCACGCATGGCATTTCCCGTTAAATTAAAAACTGTATCTTCCATACTATCACGCCTGTGCACGCAGTCAATTAGATTAACTAACGCTACCAATCTGTCACATAATCGATCAAGTATTTATCTAACTCACTCATCTTTGCGAAATTTCTAAAAAAAATTGAATGCTTGCCAAATAAGATTTGAATTACACATGTTCTTCATTATTACATAACTCTTTCTCTTTTAACATCAACTAGAAAATAAATCTTGCGAAATACATAGCCTAGAAATCATAAACCTTTAAAAAGTATAAAAATAGGAAAAGTTCTTCACTTTCCCTCTTGATATACGTACATTGATATCATTAATTTACATACATGTTAAACGTTAAATTAATAAAACTGTTCCTTTCGTGACGAATTAAATTTTGTTCCTACTTGATCATAAAATATATATACGGATCTGTCATATGCTTTCAACATACATCTAATACGCCTAAGTATTAAAGCTATTTTTAAATCAATGTTTATAGAATATAATTGATAATATAAACAGCACATTCTAAATAAGCGAGTTACATATAACATAAAAGTAAGATACACAATCGGAAAAACATGTAAAATATTTAGGGAAACATATAAGAAATAATAATAATTTCCACCTACACACGTGTAAACAAAAATTTCAATTCACAGCCATGTACAAAATTACGCATGCAGCATAAAAAAAGAAATGTAGTAAAATATATATATTTTTTTATAGACCTATATTACATTAGTTATCAATTCCTGGTGTATACTGATTGTTTCTGTGTAACACGTAGCATGTATAGCTTACTTAGTTGTAATAAGTAATGCTAATCTGAGGAATGACTCTCTCTCCTTGAAATCTTTTCTGGAGATTTACATTTGGAACGGCACGAAGCACATTTATCGATATCTTACCTTGATGAACAGGTGGTTGCGACGAAACGGAACTTTGCCCAATGTTTCCCGCCGACTGCTGACTCACATCTTGAATAGAACCGTCACTTTGAGCCGGTGTGTTGGCCGAACTAGTTTCCATATTACTCATCTAAAATGCAACATCGCCGCGTTATTGTCTCCGTTTCGCAGCCGCTCTCTGCCAGGTCAAACGAGCGACAGGATCGCGATTAAGTAACGCGCCGCATTTTACTTACAATCGATATCTGATCCTCGTCAATACTGCCTTGAGATTCCGTGCTGGTGTTTACCGGCCGCCTCAAATTCTCCCCGCTGTCTTGCGACACAATGAGGGGCTCGGGCTTGACGATGTTGGTGGCCACTAATGTGATCTCGTTGATTTCCTCCGGTCTGTCGCCGGAGCCGGACGTCGAGCCAGTGGAGGACTTCCTTAGCCTTTTCCTGCGGAAAGAGGGGGACAACGGGGACGGGCTTGGCGAGCAAGATTCGCCACGGTCGCCTCCGCCTGTCTCGCTGCTCCCGCTCGGCCACTTGGTCAACGACGCCGTATGCATCTCCGCGAGTCCCTTGATCTTCAAGCTCTCTGCCGTCTGTCGAACAAGCGGGGGCGTTTATGTTACACGTCGCAACGTCCATGCGCCAAGGAGCAAGTGGGCCGATTACTCGGGAAGCACAGTGACTTTACCTTTATGATGGATGGCAACTGCTCCTGGGATATGTTCACTTCTCCGTAGTACATAAAGTCCACCATAATCTTGAGGTCGGAGAACTTGATGTCCTTGAGTATGACGATAGGGTGCTGGCAGGGGTTCACCGTGAACAGCGACTGAAAGTACGTGCTGCACGCCGACAGCACGACCTTGTGCGCCTGAATCTGCCTGCCCTCGGCGGCGAGAGTGACGTCCACCAGGGTCTCATTGTTCAGCAGGTTGGAGAACACCGAGATGAAGTTCGGCTGATGGTTGTTCCACCGCAGGCAGAACTGTTGCATGGACATCGTGGCGACGTACGGGGGGGTCCCCTGTGAATCTCGGCTGCGAACACGGGAGGAAAACGCAATTAGCGCCGTGCGGACGCGCGCACGCGGCCACAAGTGTCGTTCGCGGCAAAAATTGTCTCTACCGCCTTAGCGCGCACGCACCTCGCCGCGAGAACCGTCGATCTCTCGAGGATGGAGCACAGAAGCTTTTCGCGCGTGGGATGAGTCAGCTTAAGGAACTCTCGACCAGCGCTTCCCTCGCGCCGAGCGAACGATTTCGTCGAGCAGCAAGAAAAACATTCTTCTCTAACCGCGGGTAAAGGGGGGAAAAAAAGAGAAACAACAACTGAGAAACAGCTCGCGGCGGTGACACGCGCGAACGGGCCCGCGGGGGAGGCGCGGAGCTTCCTGGTGAAAAAGGAGTCACGAAAGCGCGACGCGGAGGCGGGTGCGAGGTGTCACGCGCGGCGACATGTCGTCGCGCGCCCGTCGAGGCGGGCCACCACGAGTCCCCGAGGCGGATGACAAGTAAACACACGGCGCGCGATAGGCCCGGCCCGACGGCGAGGGTCCCTCTTCGTAGTCCGACGCGTGGACGGCGACGATGCACCAGGCAGAGAAAGCGCGAGGCTGAGAGAAAAAGGGGGAGCGGTGCGGAGTGGTGCGCTCACTTTTGTTCGCGATGCGCCTCTTCCTCTTCCTCTTCCTCCACGTCGTGGTCGTCGTTGTCGCCGCCGCGTTGCCGACGAAGGGCCGTACGCCGGTCTCGCTCAAAGGGCGACGTGCCTCGCCGCTGCCACCATGGACCCCGCGAAATTTTCCACAACAGACTGAGCGATGACGCTTGTGTAATTCGCGAGTGACGTCATGGGCGAGGGAGGAGGATTTACGCGACGCCGCGATCGCCGGGGGAGACGCGCGCGCGGGCCCGAATTCCGTTCGCCGCGGACGGACGGTGCCGAGCGACGGCGGACGTCAGACGCACGGCACGCACGCACCGCACGACGCACGCAGAGCAGCCGGGCACGCACACGCATACGCACTGGCCGTCACGCACGCACGCACGCACCCACGCACGTCACGCGCGGGAGGATAGCGTGCGAGATCGAAAAATTTCGCGAGATCTTATCAACGTGCGTCTCACGAAATCCAACGTGATCAATATAGCGGCCGGCCGGCGCCGCCATCTGGCGAGCGATCCGGGCGAGCGCGGGCGCGCAGCGGTCTTTTTGACCCGCGCGCGCGAGGAGGCACGCGGCGAGATTCCGCGATTTTTCTCGAAAGCTGAAAGCACTCGGCTGTTTACGGGGATTTCGTGCCGGTCGATCATAAATGGCTGTGTTCTCCAGAAGTTAGCTCTTAATAAGCGCTTTATGCTGATTGGATAGATCTAGAAGAATAGCTCTATTTCAGCACAGATCTGAAAGTATAATCCAATGAAGGCAAAGCGCTTAGCAAGCGCTAACTTCTGCTGGACACAGGCAATGGCTGTGTT